TCACTCATGATGTTCCTATCTGTCTCTGACATTGATGCCACATTCTCAACCAACTCATGCACTTGGGCCCAGTGGAAAATTCTCTTGAAGCACGCTGTGATCCTTGGGATCTCTTGGAACAACGAACTCCTTGCATCTCTCAACGCTCCTTGCTTGTCAGCGTTAAGTCCTGAGACCCCCTGACATGGGGGTCCTGCGCCTACAATCACCAGTCCTACATTGCTGTATTTGAGGGGCAATTGCAAGATTTCCTCCTCGCCAAACTTGGTCACATCCTCGAAAAAGTCACACTCTGGGAAGTAGCTTTCAACTACCCTGTGGCACTGTGGGTTCTGTTCAATGCTCACATGCCCTGCCATGGGCAGACCTAACACGTCGCACGCCACGCGCAGTGCACCAATTCCATCGAACAGCCCGACACTGAGCGCCGGAACCAGGTCATTTTCTTCCGGAAGGTCCCCCCTACAGCAGGCGTTGAGTGCAGCATGGCCAAACTCACTAAGCCCCTTGGAAGCACAGAGCCCGCCCCATAGGATGATGCATCAGAGCAGGTAACCTCACCATCAACCTTCGCTCTAAACTCCATCTGAGCAAGGGGAGTGAGAAGGATAAAACGGGCAATCTCAACCTTCACCTGGTACGGGAGAGCTAAACGGACTACAGGGGCCTCACCTTCAAAAGCCTTCATGTGTTCGAACACTGCATTCAGAGAACACAACAAAGCCCTCCTAAACATGCAAAGGTACACGAATCCACCACAGACTACTTGCAATTCCCTCAGGGTCGACGTGCCCCGCTGCAAAAGCTCAAATCCCAGCTTGCAGTACTGAACCACCTTGGCTGGTTTGGCCATGGCAAAACCTCGTTCACCGTCAAGCAACGCACCTTGGCGTGGCAAACCTGAGGCCTCGTGAGCCTCACGCAATTGTTCAACTTGTGTGCCAACCGTGCCCTTGATGGTCTCAGCCAAGCTTGCATGCACACGCTCCAAACAATCAAAGTTATCAAGGTACGTGCGATACAAGTGATCAGAGTTTGGAAGGCATTTGTCTTTACGAAGTTCTCCCTCCCCTCCGATGGACGGTTGACACCGTTGTGCACTAAGCCGGACTACATTCCTATGGATGTGTTGTGCGATCGAGACAGAGTTAACAAACCCCATGGGCAGTACTTTCGAGACTGGAACACATGACTGTCCCAGGTACCAGGGTCTCGGGTAACATGCGATTAAACCCCAAATAGGCCTTCCAGCACTGTGGCACCGCAAACAAATAAAAGAAGCGCCTGATGTCCTCGCTTGAGAGGAGGACCACCTCTCCATCGTCCAGCAGATACCCACTCAAGCCTGAAATGGCCGGTAGCGTCCCTACGTCTCCAGCCAAAGGTCGACATAGTGCATTGACCGGGGTGAGGTTCATGATAAGTCTCTGTGTTTCAATACCGTTCTCAAATTCGCCCTTGCCGACCGCAAACAGCCCGTTCAGGACTGGCTTCGACTGGCTTCCCATCCAAGTGATATACCTTATCCAGGGGCATGACCTCGGCTATCCCCCGCTCCAGGAGCCCCTTTGCCAGAGGCTCCCACTGCCCTTCTTGGATCATCATTGTGGGTGGAGTTGTGTAGGTCCTAGCCTCCTCAGGAACCATGTACCTCTCAAAATCATGTATGTATGCACGAGTCCCTAATCGGCAGAAATCAGCAAGCGGCAACGACCCAACACCCTTGGGTAGCGACTGTTTGACAGCCTCCCATGAGAGCTTCTGTGCAGTCTTGATTTCATCACCAAGATAATTCACCCCTCGTCCCCTGAAAAAAGAATCAAAATCAACTTAACATCCGACACACCCCACATGTGATTACGGTGCACGAGACGCGACACACTTTTTTCCGCTTTCGATCGAAGTCCCAGCTCATCTTCGTGAGCCGTGCTCGTTGGAGAACTCGCGGAGGTAGTCACAGGCGCTGAGGTCCCAAATCCAGCCAAATGATTCAAGGCCAAGAACGCCCCACGTGCTGCCTCTCTGTCAGCCGGCGCGGAGTTCCCTCCTTTCGCAGTGGGAACAGTGGGTTACGCCGATCCGGAGGAATCTCCTTGTTGGAGCGCATCGAAATAGTACCATCTCGTAGGAGTACGCTGGCTGACTGTTGAATGATCTCATGCATGCTCGTGCCAGGAGCTCCGGCCGCTCGCCTATTTGCTCCCGTCTCAAGCTCCTCAAATTCATTGGCCATCATCTCCCTGCCACCAGAAGATGGTTGCCCTGTACCAGGAGTACGAATGACTCCCGTGTGAAACTCCTCTATTGGCTCTTCTTGCCTTCGCCCTTGCCTCTTTTGCCCTTCTCCTTGTCGCGGTCCTTCTCTTTCGTCTCCTCCTTTCCTCCCTTGCCTTTGCCCTTCTCCTTGAACCGATCTCTGTAATCGGGATATTTCCCCGTCGCCTTGCCGTAGATCTTGTTCTCCTCGTGAGCAGTCCGCCCCGCCTGATGTAGTTCGCTCGAACTGGCCAGGCCATGGCTGTCCACCTGGATCAGCTCGAGCTGTTTTATCAGGTCGACTTTCATGCCCTTGGCCAGGGCCTCCAACGATTTGAGCCGTTGGGACATCACGTCGCAAGCGGCAGCTGTCTTGCCTTGCACCATCAGGTCGAGGGCCGCGGCCCAATGGATCGCTTCTCGGTATATCACCGGCGACATAGCTGAGCCCATCTGTTGCCTCACATATTGCGATGCCAGCGGTTGCAGCCGAGTTGAACTGTTCAGCATACTTCCCATCTGGAGTAGCATGCTGCGTTGAGCGTCTTGTAACAGCTGGGCAGTGAGAACTCCTGGCAGGCGTTCCCACATCCGCTGTGTGCTGGTTTGTGGGGTGAAGAGCTCTCCCATGTGACCTTCTCCCGGGCTGACTTCGCTGGACGACTCCGAACTGCTTGAACTCCCGCTCGATGAAGTGTCCCGATTTCTCCCTTTCTTGGTCAACTTCTTTGCACGACGCCTGAACCTTTTTCGTTTGAGTGGATCTGCATCCATGCCTGTGTTGTTGAACAAGAGGGTCACGTCCTTCACACCCTCGATCTTCAGCTTGGCTTTCTTCTTTTTCTTTTTCTTCCTCTCCTCTGAGTCCCCCGAACCCCCAGGGGCCTCCACCTTGGCCACTTCTGCTCGAGCTTCGGCTGGGAGTCCTCGACCTTTTCCTCTTGCTGTTGCTTCGTCGCGGACGCGCTCGAGCTCGTCCCTCTCGACCTCGGCTCGACTGCTCTCTAAATTTTTCTCCCATGCGACGTCTCCCGTACAGTGACGCTTGACCTGACCCACATGAAGGAACCCGTCTTCCCAGGTCCGGCTGTCGCACCTTCGGCCACAAAGATGGAGTCTGACTGTCTTCGCCGCCACGCCACTGATGTACCTCAGGAGCGCCTCGCTGGAAGTCCCCTTTGCTCTTCCCAGGAGCTCTCTGTCTCCCCTGCTGACCTTCAGCTCGACCATCTCGACGATGCAATCTGTGGCCTCCTCCCAATACTCTCCTTGCACCCGAATGAGAGGCCAAGACTCCAGCTGCGCCAGAGTGACCTCGCCGGCTGCTACCCATGGGTTGTCCTCCTCTCCTTCCAGGGCGGCAGGTCTCCTCATGGCCCTGCGCCGCCCCCGCCTCGGCTGCCGGCCTCCTCTTGGGCGCCATTGCCTTTGCCTGCTCTGTTGTTCACGCCACCTGCGCCAATACTCCTGGTTCCTGAGAGTGTGCTTTTTGCCCTTGGACTTCTTCTTCTTCTTTGGTTTGTTGCCGAACCCAAAGCGGGGCCTGGTCCACTGCCCCCTCCCATATCCAGGACCTCCCTTCGCTCTCCCGCCGCTGTCTCCTCAACTGGGTCTGCTTCACACTCCTCGCTCTCTCCTCCTTCTTTCTGCTGCTCTGCGCTCTTGGCCGGACTTGGAGTCGGAGTTCTCCGCCTCCTCCGCCGATCTCTATGCCTGGACCTGCTTCTCGATCGCCTCCTCTTTGCACTGCCTCTCGATGATTGACCTGGACCTCCGGGATTTCTATCTTCTTTGGACGACCTCGACTTTCGCTCCTTACCACGCTCCTTCTCCTTATCCTTGGAACGGGCCTTCTTCTTCTTCTCGACCTCTGACTGCGACTCCTCTCTCTCCGATGTTGGTTTCCCGGTGGACTCCTCTTCTCGTGTAGCCGCACGCGATCGATCTCCGTCTCCGTCTTCACGATCTCGCCTCCGCAGTCGGGCCAAGGGTGGCAGTCCTCGGCCCTTACTGCCTGATCCGCCCTCTTCTCTTTCAGGCGGAGGGGGTGCTACACCCCGTGTACCACCAGGAGCAGCTGCTCCGCAACACCAGGAGAACCTTCTCCCGAAGTTCCAGGAGGGCCCCCTCCCGATCCACCAGCCTGCTCGCCGCCTGTACCAGGAGGAGGTGGGCTCCCGAATGGCACCCCGGTTGTCGCTCCGAGTGCTCTCTCCAGGAGCCGGGTGTAGACCGACTCCAGCAGCGGGACCGCCGCCACCCGCACCTCCTCCCGGGTCTCGGCTCCCAGTAAGAAGCTTGAGAGCCTCGCGAGAATCCCACAGCAGCGGCAGCCGCACGTGGAAAAATCGTGGGCGAGTCTCCCACTCATACGCTGAAGCCAGAACACTGCAATGAAAACATCAACCAAACTCGTTTTTGCTTACGACACGAAGGACCATGTGTGTGTGTGTGCGTTGTTTGCTGCAATCTTGTGTTTAACCCATGGTTTGCCTCAAGAATTGGTTGGCCAAGCTGCCTATTCGCGAAAGAAGCTGTGGGGCAATCACGGCTGCGTCGCAGAATATCACAAAATCCAGTGCAATGCGCAATGCGATTTTTGATGCAGCTTTCTGAGGCCAGCCGCTGGCTGCTTGGGCATGGAATCGATAAAGTCACAAAGACGAGTTCCTTTCTCCTGGCGTTTTAAACGCTTGGCATGTGTAATTCGCACAGGAGGACTATTTCACTGGACTAGCCGAGGTGCCAGTCCTGGTGACCAATGCAACACATACAACTCATATAACACACGTCAAAATACATCATATGTGACATCAATATGTCACATCAATGTATCATCAATGTCAACCTCAATCTATGAACAAACCCAGCCAGCTGCGAATTTGCTCGATCTTTGCTCTGCTCAATGCTGAGTCAACGCTCAGCAAGCTGCAGCTTGCAGCACACCTCCAGAAAGGGAGCAAAATGCACTCGGTTGGCGAGCAGCCAAGCTTGCGCAAAATAATGTGAAAACACGCTGTGGAAGAAAAAAGGATCCACAAAGGGAAGGTCTAAGAGTTTTGAGCTTAGCCGTAGCCTATAATGCTACAACATTCTTCTACAAAACAGTCACAAAGGGGCAACGTCAGCCAGCACCCAAGCGAAATGTCTAGTTGCGCAGCTGAGTCTCATTCATGGATTGCATCTCCTGAAACAGCAGCTTGCACGCATATGGCAAGCGGACTTGAGTGATCCATTCAGCGCTGCCACAAAGTTTACACCAGTCTGGACGACTGAACAGGCCGCATTTTCCTGAGACTGCGGCAAAGGTTTGGCACGTTGCATTGATTGCATGAACAGTCAATAAATAGACTTATTACATGGGAGGGAGGTTATGTTGCAAACGTGTGTCATATGTGATGCTTTCAACTTGGCCCAGTGTACTGCCTATCTCTGAAGCCTGGGGCCTGTTGCAAAAGTTCTATCATGGTAAGTGAGAATCGGCCACTCCCTGAAGGTCAAGCGCTGGGTCTCACATGGTCTCACAAGTTATCAAGTGTCCCTTAAAGGCAAGTATGGTTAAAATTATGATGTACCTTACAGCCTAACTCTGAAATCTCAAGGATTCATAAAAAAGCAAAAAAAAGGCAAAACCACACTCACAAAGGATGACCAGGAAATGCAAAAGAAATGCATAAAAAAAGCAAAAAAAAGGCAGCTGGTCAAAAAGAGTGCATATCAAAAAGCAAAAAAAATGCAAAAGGAAGCCAGAAAAAAAGAAAAAAAATGCAGAACAGCAGTTCAAAAAAAGCAAAAAAAAGCAAAAAAAATGCACATGCACAACCAATTTTCACACACCACCTTTTTTGTGCGATTTTTTTTGCATTTTTTTTGCATTTTTTGTGCGATTTTTTTGCATTTTTTTGCATTTTTTTTTGCGTTTTTTTGCTTTTTTTTTGCGTTTTCTCAAGGAAACGCACAAAAAATGCAAAAAAATCGCAAAAAAAACGCAAATACAAAGCAAACAAAATGCAAAGGCAAAGACCAGAACGTTTTTGATCGCATTCGTTTTGCTTTTTGATTGCATTTTTTTTGCATTTTTTGTGCATTGTTTTTGCATTTTGTGTGCCTTTTTTGTGCATTTTTTTTTGCATTTGTTGCATTGGTTTAGTGGACACATGCGTTTTTTTTCGCATTTTTTTGCGTTTTTTTTGCATTCCAAGGCATCCTTTGGTGACTTGTTTTCGCGTTTTCTGTGCATTTTTTTCGGGATTGGTTTTGCATTATTTTTGCATTGTTTATGCATTTTTTATGTTTTGCTGTGTCATCAGAACTAGCTTTAGCGTACATCATAAGGTTAAAACATGTTAAAACAATGAACGCCCTTATGCGCTTGATGAGGAAGATTGAAAGGGACAAGAAGGTCCTTGACGGTTCAAAGGGTGCTTTCAGACTTTGGACGGGAGACTTCTTGTAACACGACTTGGCACAATGTGATGAAGCAATTGAGTTCAGGTGAACACTTGGTACATAGCGAATTGGCAATCTTCCTCGTTGAAGCAGCACATACCCGAGCTCCAAGCAGTCTTACTTGTGAGCTCTGTCAGCACAATCCCACTCCACGCATGATAAACAGAAACATTATTCAGTGATTTCAGTGATCTTCAGTGGACATCTTTCCATCTTTCCTTTTCTAGTGCCCATCCTACTATGTGCGAGTGTCTGGATGTGTCTGGGGTGGGCAATGATTTCAGCACAAGGAGCTGCAAACGCTTGGGTTGCACACATCGCTGGAAAACATCAGACGTTCAAGCAGCAGGTTTGAAGCGCCATATGCGACCAGGCAGTCTCGCTCCATCTCCTCAGACAGGTTGCAGGCCTCATATCCTCATCTCCTTCTCTCATCTCTCTCATCCCTCATCTCTCTCACCCTCTCGCGCGCGCGAAAGCGCGTTGTCACCGCCACTGATTATCCCACTATGCCAATGGAAAGGTGCAACTAACATACTCCTCTAGCTGTAGCCGTGTGCAACGTCATGCTTGTCAGATCTTGTCAGAAAAGAAGTCCCCAGTTGTGCATCATTTGCACATGTTGGTGAGAGTTGGCCTGCATGCCGCATACCTGCCCGCCCATTCTTGTTCCGCTTTTTCGGACACCCCAATCATCTTGGACACTTCGACCTTTGCCAAACAGTTAAACCCCACAGTCCACGGTTAAATGCCGACAGAAAAGAAAACAAATAGTCTGCATTCTTTATTGGAAAGCAAACACCTGGCAAAATGGGCCCCAGAAAATCATCAAATAATCTGAACAAAATGAAGCTCTGCTTCCAAGACTCGCCCAACCGAAGTCCACCTTCCTTTGCCCTGCCTTCCGTTGGTTGGCGAGTCAGGAGCATTCGTGGACCGCGCGCCCTCGCATGCATCTTGTCCTGGGCGAGGCAAGGCCAAGGATGTGCGAGAAGTGGCAGTCGAAGTCTGATTAGCACGCTGTAGCTAACCTTGAGTCTCCGTCCACCACCATGTGTTTCAGCTTCTGGTAGTAGATTGGCCCACCTCGGCACACCAACCAAATGATCCCCCGTTCAATCCGTGTTTGCAACAACAACTCGTTGGGCCAAAGAGCAGAAAATGTATGCCTCAATAGGCTCACCAGTGATGCCGCTTGTTAAATAATCCTTTCCAGTTGGCGCAAAGCCATGGCTAATCAAGGTCCTCAGATGGAAACTGCCGGGTTCAGCGAGTCTATTGGCAGTGCGCCATAGTGCGCCTCTATGGCCGAATGAGTCAAAGCAACGACATGGATCTATGAAAACGAGGCCCGCACATGCGCAAAAAGCGAGCCAAGGTGGAGCGAGCAGGTTTAACGGACTTCCAAGAATTCTAATTAAGTCGTATCGCAGATTGTATACACAAAAAATGACAAAAGCACCGGCCCGACATCACCCCACCTGTAGATTTCATGTGCAGGTGTACCACCAAAAGCCGAGCCGTTGGCAAAAGCCCCCTCCATCACAGCTGCCTTTGCAGGGAGCGCTTCATGCATGCAATAACCCCACTGCACCTTCGTTACATCGCTACCGACCATCGACTCCCTCAGCTAGATCCGGGCTGCTGATGTCTTGCGACTAGCTGTAAATGCATCGCCGCCAACCTTCCTGCTTGACTGAGACCACTCTGTGGCTGCTTCAGACTTCACACTTACTGCGTGATTCCACGCTTTTCTGTTCAGATTCCTTTCGGGGCATCAAAGAAGCTTATGCTCAGGACAAGGGCGGCACACCTCCCGCCTTCGAACCAATGCATTCCAACATCTTCCCAACAGTCATCCTAGATGGGAAGCCATGCCTGAAGCCAGGTTCAACAAAGAGACCTTGTGAGTTCAATGTTTGGCTTCAACATCTTCAACAGTTTTGAGTTCTTTTGAGTTCAACAGTTTTTGCCCATGCAGTCAACTGAGGCAGCAAAGGAAAAAAACACTCTGGATACTGCGGCATGCTGCCCAGATGCGGATTCATGATCAAGTCTGGTCTCCAGCCAGTTTCAGAAAATGGCAGGTCGATTTCAGGCACTATCAGACCCACCACTCCCTTCTGCCCATGGCGGGAAGCAAACTTGTCACCTAGGCTGCGCAAACTCCCATGGTGAGTATATACCCTCTCTCGCACTTGGCAAACAATCGATATGTTTGAAGCGGCTTTGTCATGCTTAGACAACATGTGACATGGATTCATTAAAGCAAAGGAAACACAAACCCTTATGAATTGTGCACCGCCCATTCTGCAACAAAGTGGCCAACCTCAGGTCGACGCGTTTGGCGAGTGATGATCTTGTACACCTTCATGCCCTCTGCGTCGGTGGTCAAGAGTACGCGATCCTCAAACATGTGACATGATGTCGGTCTTTCCCATATGTATGTATAATGTCCATAACATGAGTCTATAACATTGTTTACAAATAGATATAAATAAATAGATTTGTCAAAATCCTCAAGAATCCGGTTTTTATTTGCAGGGCTCACCTTCCGCTGTTACAATTCTCACATCAGCCCTTATAGCCTATATGTATGGCATATAGGCATACAAATTCGTCCATGTTCCTCCAATCATTTTGGTCGACCCCCAGCAGGAGTGGCTCCTGCAAGCCCATGCTAAGGTCTGGGCAATATATGAAGAGACCGGGTTCTTGTAGGTAACAGGGGTTGCTCTGTACCTTGCATCGTTGCCGATGAGCTCTTGAATGCCTTTGGTGTCGACGGGGGTTATCCTCAGTCCAAATGATTCTGGAAACAAGCATCATGAAGTGAAACATCCGTGTTTTCCCAGTCAAGCAAGAACTGCTTGGCTGCTTGACGACATTTTTGATGGCAGCCCTTGGGCATGTCAAGAATCTTGTTAGCCAGGCAGTAGCCATCCTCGACCTTCTCAGCGGGTCGAACCATGCCATCCTCATCCAGGCCACTCTGCTTCTTGTTGCGGCCTGGGGCCGAGACACTCTTCATGACCTTGCCTCCAGAGGCCTTTGCCACAATGTTCTGCTGGAACTTTCTTTCTGAACTCTTCATACTTTCCGTTCCTCTCAACTATGTCATCCAGCCTCTTCGCCCTTCCTTGCACAAAGGCATAAAGAAAGGCACGACAAGTCCAAATGTCATAAACAAAGCAATGGCCGTGCAAGTGGCCTACATGGGTTCATGCCTACCTGAAACAGAAGCTACGTTCTTTAAACTTTCTGCACCCAATGGCAGGCCTTCAAATCGCCCTTCTGCGGCGGTGCAAGTAGATCTGTTTGGCCATCTGAGTGTGGCACCATTTGCACCTAGGAGCAAGGCAAGCTCAGCCCTTCAAAGGACGCACTGGACACACCATGAGCCACTCGAAGCTTTACAAGCCAAAACTGCCAAGGCATGCACACTCTGTCGTCTCATCACAAAGCACCTCCAGCCAAAGTCGTCCATTACACGCAGAACGTATCAAATATTATGCTTGAGGCTAAGTTTTGACAAGGTAGACTTGTCACATCCACTGCTGGCACCCCTCATGCCATTCACCTGCCTGCCAAAGCCGCGGTCAAGTGCAGCTTTGTTCATGATGATGGCATCCTCGATGTCATAACCACTATAGCCTCAGGTGCCGACAGAACCTTGCACGACCTCCTGGCCTCTGGCCATTCGTTTATGAGGTGGTGCCAGCAATCGCCTTGCTTGCCACTGTTAAGCCGCTGTGCCGCGCAAGGCAACAAATAAATGAAGTGAAAACAGATCAGGAAAATGTTCAATTGCATTTGAGAGGCTCATGACCGCAACTGAAGCATTTTGTCCAGCACCCAAATGATGAAAATCAACAAGGTTCCTGGCGTAAATCGTCATGATGAGAAGCTCCATTGCATGATATGGAGGAATGTCACAAGATAAGTGCCACACTAAACATACCAAATTCTACAGTGTTAGATTGCAGAGTCAGAGTTGTAAGGCTGGGCTATAAACTATAGAATATGGGAGACCGTCACGTAAATCAATGACACGGTTGGCATTTGGTTGCCATCAATTTTTCATAAAGCATCCACAGCTAGCCAAGGAGCAGTGTCTTGCTAGTACATAGCGGTTTCTCAGGATACACCAGCCCAAGTAGGAGTGTATCCTAAGGCGAGAAGGATGCTCTGAGGACACTTGGCACCCTACCAGGTACCGCAGGGGCTGTGAGGTAGAACATGCTCACTTCACTGCGTACAGTAGTGCTGGGCAGCCGAAGGTCAGATCTGGTGAACTGGTTCATGGCAATGCAACCCATCGCTTGCTTTCCTCAGATGCTGCATGATGCTTCAATATATTTCAATGCCTGCCATGTGTAATCATTGTTTTTCATGCTTTCGCTTTCACCTCACAGATCATAGCTATGTGCAAGGCTCCCATGGCACATTCATAAGTGTTCCGAGGAGACTGATTGTGGTTGGGATATGGGATGAGCCCGGAGACCACGCCTGGTGCGAGCATGGTGGGGTCCAAACTTTATCACACAAAGACTTTTCAAGGAGAAAAGTGTGTCCTGCCTAGAAGAGTGAAGGGCTCAATCTCCAAATGCGTGGTCTCTGCTGTTATGTCATTTGGGTGCAGTGCAATGAACAGGTTGTTCTCTTCATTGACATCTACCTTAATCAAGTCGTGACCTAGAGGCGGCCTGCAAACTTGCAGCTATCCAACTCATTCCAACTCTAACTACTGCAGCAAGGCGGAAAAGCCATGCCAAGGTACCCATTCAACCACACCTTGACGCAAGAAGTCCACGAAAGACATGCCGCCATCCTTCGGCCTTTTCAACATCCTTAAAGCTCACGGGCCGTGTGGCCAAACTTAGAACATGGCAAGCAAGCTGTGTGCCGAGCAAGGCACAGTGGCACATGTTTCTCCGGGATAAAGCGGGGTTTGCCATCAGCGACAATGATCAACGGCCGGCACAAACGCCCCCCATCCGATGCCACAAAGATTGCATGCCACCCTGCATCACTGGGATCAGGAGAGGTTCTGCTACAAAGTGCCTAAACTCCAAAGTATTTGCGAAGCACAGCAAAATCATGCGTGACTGGTGTTGGCAGCATAGTTGCATGTCTATCCCAGTCTATTCCACCTTCATCCTCGTAGATTGAAACAAACTCTCCAATGAGACCGCGCCGTCTCAGCTGCTGCAAACCTGAGGGCACCATGTCGAACACACTTAACTGACCCAACTTCAACTTACTTTAAGTTGCCGAGTTATTGCGGCAAGGAGCTGGCCATAAACCTTTTTGGCCTTCGGTGCACACCTAGAAGATTGCCATTCAAGAAGACCTCAGGCCAGCAAGGGACAGGGACAGGAAGCAGTCCTGCTCTCACCCAGTTTCGTCCGGGGACATTGTCCCTCAATAGAAATGATCCTGCGCGATGCATTCCTACATTGTCGATGCATTCCTACATTTTCGGAATGCCAAGCTTCCAAGTAATTGCCAATGTGATGAAGCTCTTCACCCGACAAAGCATGTGCGTCCTGACAATGTGAAACGTGTTTTGACTCCGGACGCATGTCACGCAAGCAGCTGGGACAAAATGGTGGCAGCCTCCACCCCCAGGCAGAAACACATATGCCGAAGATTTGCGCCACCTTGCCCTCAGCATATTGGTTCAGCGTGAAGCTCGGTGGCTTTTTATGTTGAGCCATGGTGAACCGAAGGTGTCTGAGGGCTTGACCTTCACCTGTGGTGACATGTGTCAACAAGGCCAAATGCCTTAAGAGCATCAACCAAAGAAGTGGGACATGTCGGATATGCGAGGCTGATGAACATCCCGAATACATATTAAATTACGCACCTCATGAGTTGGTGAGTTTGTGGAGGTCAGCCAAATTCTGTGCAAGACACTAGTCAATTCAATTTCGGATGTGGACGGCTGTCGGATGTCAAGACACTTCACCAGGCCGCATTGTTCACCTTCAGGAGTGTCTGCAGGACATAGCATGCCCCATTGAGATGGCTGCAAGGCACGCGGCCCGGCCACTTTGCGGCTTTTCTCAAACTGCGACTTCACTCTCATCCTTCGAAGCTGTCAACAGCCAAGCAAGTACAAAGAACTATATATCAAGTTCATGGTAACATGTAGCAAAGAAGGGGTGGCACAGCTTTACTAAACACAAGTAACAAGGACACTCGCTTTATTGGACGGTTGATTGCTCTCTTTGCGCGAACATGGTTTGGAAATGCGACATTATTCTTTGGAGTTCTGGTGGTCAGCACCAGACTCGCTGCTCCAAAGCCAAGCGTCATGGACCCAACGCAGGACATGTAGGAGAACCTGGATAGAACCTGCAAAGGGGCCAGCGTGATGCATAACGAGGCATGGCAAGTCAACACTACCATGCATGCGAAAAACTCATCTGTACCAGCCTTCACCTTTAATATCCTTTAATGACAGGGCACTTCCCTGCCAGCCTGCGACACACCAGCCCGGTCAATGCGGAAGCGCTTGATGTTCCAATTTCCGGTCGAGATGGCATTCGCCATCGCCCTGGTCAGGCGTGAGCGATCTTGCCAGGACTCCAGTATGTCCGGATACCTGGGTACTGTATTGAGATTCAATTCAAAAGGGCTTAAGTTCGCAATCAAGCTGTCCCCAAGTATTCGGCGTTGTCTGTAATTGAGGATGCCAAGCCGCGATAGCATGTCCTTCGTCCGTGCAGCTGCAGACTGATGCCACTTGGACAAAAGAAGATCGGCTTGCTTTTGCAACTCGGAGTTCATATGCTTGAATTGATCCTGGCATATATTAATGAAGGTCTCAGTCTGCTTGCAGGGCGGAAAGCATCTCAACCGGTGTCTCATGTGGTCATGGCCTGCATCTAATCTATGCCTCTACCTTCATGACCATCAAAGCAATTGAATGCAGCGGCTCTCCTCAAAAAGGACTTCAACCAGCTGACCAGAGAGCTCCAATCGCTTGTTGCCATAGTAATCCCCTAAGCAATCTTGGGCGCTTTGTGGTGCACACTGTAGCTCAATGAATGACAATGGGATGGCAGCAGCTGCCATATTAACCTGTGAATGATCTAGGCAATGTGCGGTCATCCACTAGCTGCGGGTCGTACATTGCATTGATCACCCGGCGGATCATGAGGCCAAAGTAGCCTGTGTGCAAAGAGCACAAGGGGCCAGGACATGAACAATAATTCCGCACTTTTCGTTGGGTAGCTCCTGTTTGGCGAGGTCCAGTCAAAACATATGTATATATACATATATGCTGCATCTTGAAGTTGGAAGGACAAGTGCTAGGGATGAAAATGGATGAAGCACAAACTTCACTGCATTTGATGACCAGTACATGCAGCGAGGCAGCGGATCTTCGGGGCCAAGCTCTGGTTCGGGCACTCCACATGTGACAAGATCTGGAGCGGGTGAAGGTTCCAAAAAATGCAACATGACTCAGGTTTTGCTAACTTGCTCTTGCGTCGTCAGTATGCGTTTGCTCCGAGATTGGCCGCACTGCACCTGCCGGCTGATCAAATCCATTGGATCTTGCTGCCTTCTTCGTTCCTGACCTGTTCCATCCAGGGGTGCTTCAAGGATCCTTCACAGAAAGTATAATTGCAAACTCAGGACTTTGAAATGTCTTTGGACTTCGCAAAGCCGAGGCCGCCCCGCAAACTGCGTGCCTGGCTTCACCTTGATCTTTGCAGCTAAGAAATCCAATGCAGCTTTCTGCGAAAATATATGTCTTTCCTCCGTTGTCATCACTAGCTTCGCTGGAGAAACTTCGAGTCTGATTGGGTCAGATTGCAAGAAAAACTTTTCCAAGTTACAACCCTAGTCAGTCATTAGTTGAGGAGTTTATATAATATATATATATATACACAAGTGACACAAGTCATGGATATTCTTCACAAAAAGGTGATGTTGAGCAGTGCGGCACCACGCAACCCACCCCTGCTTGCAGCCAACCCGAACAAAAGCTTGCTTAGCCTTACCTTACATGTGCATGCTGCCATGCTGCGTGACATTCTTGCAATGTGATCATCAAGGTGTCCAAGTACTTCCGTTGAATGCCCACCATTTGAACGATCTCCATGTCACTCTGCACGCCCATAGCCTACCAGCACAAGTGAGGTCGGCCAACCGATTTCCGGGCCAGTCATAATTTTATACAGTAGTTGTACTTGTGGTTTGTCACACCATGGACGGCACCAACTTGGGGCCTTCATCAGGATCGAAACTGGGATGAGCTCTGAAAAGGCCGAATGCTTCACCTACAGCAGTATGCCATGCTCTCACCAAACATCATCCTTTGGCACATGTTGTTCAATGTTCATTCATTCTCTTGCATCACCTCCAACTGCCAAGTTGCATACAGCCCTTTCTTCCGTGCCAATGGGTTTGCCACGACCACCTAGAGATTCCATCGGGCTTGCCAACGAGTGATTTGATAAAGTTATTGTAGAAAATCGAATCACTCAAACCATCGTGCAGCTGTGACACGGTTCTGCTCTTGTTATCTTCACCTCGATTCTGCAGACCATGAAACTCCAAGCTTGCTACTTTACTTATAGACTTACTGTTATGTATCATGAAACAGTTTGTTGCTCAACGGGTGCGAGGCAAGCTGCTATGGGAGGTTACAAAGGCCTGGAGTGTCTTCTTCGAGTCATACTCCACGACGATTCGGTTGGACAAAGGCTGAGGGGCAAGCGCTCAGGCACATGTGGGTACTCAACATACTCTCCAATAGAAACTATACGGTGGATCAAACTAAAATGATGCGATGCTGGGTTGCCCAGTGCTGTGACAACGCCTGTTCTTGCATCATGAGCACTCGCTCCACTCCTTTGACAATGAAGTATCCTGCCCAGCACTGCACAGGAAAATTGTTTCTTCTTTGGACTCGCGTATTGCAAATGGTCTGTGTTCGTTGGAAATGCTAGGTCGATCATCCAAAATGATTGACGATTGTTTTTGCATATTCACACCGCGCTCTTCCAAAGCATTCAATACCTGTAGTCTAACAAACAGGCTCTGCACTCCATGATCACTCCGTGTGATCAGATTATCAGGCGAAGCTGCGCTCCGTGAACAGAACTCACTCACCAATCCTCCTGGATCATAGGGACACTCACCCGAAGCAACCACTTCCTTAGATGTTTCATGATGTTTCATCCTGTCAACTCGCAAACTGCCTCAAAGTCATGAATAGTGCCAAGGCTTTTCCATCCGGATCTGGGCTGAAACCTCGTGAGCTTTTCCATTTGGGTGTTACCTTGACTTGCTCTTGTGCCCTGGACAGCCAGCAAGTGAAGCGTTGCTGTTCAACGTTGGAGCACCTGTCGGATTCTGCCGGACACCAGGTTAATCTTTGCTCTCCTGACCTGGCTCTAAGCATTTTAATTGAAAGCTTTCACCTCCCTCAACTGGTCTTCGGAACCCCCCTTATGCCTTCAGCCTTAAAGTAAAGCACATAGCTTGACGAGACATGACGGAAAACAGGACTCACTAGTGGAAACAAAAGCCAAATCTTAAGAGCAAATTCACCGGTGCTCGCGCTGCGGAAGGGACATGCCAAACACAATTTATATAGATAGAGTCTCTTCTTCACCTTTGCCGTTCAACACACAGAGGTTACTGCGCAGCATCACTGGTAGCATGCCAATCTCCAAGTCTCGCTTGCCTGAGACGCATTTTGCATGGGGGCCATCGAGGGGCAATCCATCAAGTCTATCAGCACGCTTGATCTGCTCAAGGGATTCTAACACTTGACTGCTTCTCAGCTTTTGGCAAACATATCTCCATCCTGTCTATGAGTCATACTATGGTGGCAAAGTGACATCAGCCCGTCCCCTTGCATCGTTTCAGCATCATGTAAAGCTATGCAGCTTATCAGTCTTTGCTGATCAAGATGCGGATTCTACGGTCTCCCTTCCAGTAGATCACATCCACATAGATGGGTGCTGCATAGGTCAAGTCCCTCAAGCGGCACATATGTGGGCTGGTTTCCTTGGCCAATGGATCGCTCGCGGCATCAGATTCAATACGTGGAGTAATTGCTAGTTGGTTTCCAAAGATTGCATAAGATGCGAACATATCTATATATATTTGCTTCAGGATTTGGGTTTCCGCTTCCTGTCTCGTTGGCGGGGTTCAGTTGATATCTCCTGTTCGGGTCCTGTATGCTTTCATTATGGCTGCGCTGGTCATGGTTAGTACTACGTACAGTGCAGGTCTAGTATCGGTCCTGATCCTCACATTTCCACCGCAACCTTGTTGAGATTCCATCCAAAGCGCTTTTTATCCCATACAATAAGCGATGGGGAGTAGAGTAGAGGGCAATGGGGAGGTGGACACCCTCGACCGTTTCTCGGGTGAGCGAGCTCGAGAGCCAGGCCCGTTCGCAGCAGAGAATCAAGGTGGAGACAACTGATTGCAGCCTAGGAGCCTGGGTGACCATGTCTTCCATCTTTGAAGGCTTTCCGACTCTGATGTTCTCGTATTGTAGAAACCAGTTTTTGTCAGATTCACTTCTGACAATGTTATTGCTTGCCGCCTGCACAATCTGCTTCATGCGAACATTCCTCACAAGCAGGAGGACAATGGCATATCATTCAACGACGACCTGCTTCATCCACCAGGTCCACTGAGTCTGGAGTCTGGACCACTATGAAACCAGCTCAGTAGGACGAAGAAACACTTGCATCTGACGTTCGATACATCTAGAATCATCTAGATATGGCCGAGGCACACAAAGTGGTTGTAAGAGTCCTCGGTCTTGAGGCAAGACTGTCCCAACACCAAACACTGTCCAACACATGGCTAAGAAGAATCACAAATGGACACGTGACAAGGCCATGTGTGACAAGGCTCAATATGCTGTGTGACAAGGCCTTTGTATTGCAAGAACAAATCGACCAGTCGCCATTTGTCGAACATCGATGGGACCTGCAGAGTCGGGGACCGCAGGTCCGCCATGTCCCGAAACAAGCCGGGGCAGCCTCATGGTGCCACGCTACTAGGAGCTTGAGGCCAGGGGGAGGAGGTCCAAAAGTAGCATAGCATACCCCCCGCTTTTGTATGCCTTGAGTCGGAAAGAGGGGTAAGCATTTCTGACATCACACGGACTGTACGTAGGAGAAGCACGGGTAAAAGGTATATGGAGTAGAGTGTCTTGAGGAAATACCTGGGGGGTAAATTTACCCCCCGCTTATGCATGCATTAGGTTAGAAATAGGGGCAAAGAATTTGTAACAGTGAAGTACAAGTCCTATGCAGCAAGCAGCAGCCAGCAGCAGCAGCAGCCGCCGCCGCCAGCAGCACCACGCAGCAGCAAGCAGCAAGCAGCAGCAGCAGCAAGCAGCAAGCAGCAGCAGCAGCAGCGGCGTCGTCAGCAACAGCAGCAGCAGCACCAAGCCGCAACAAGTAGCAAAGCAGCAGCTACAGAAGCGGCAACCAGCGGCAGCAGCAAACAGCAGCAGCAAGCAGCAGAGCGGCAGCAGCAGCACCGTTTACACCAAGCCACCGTTTACACCCAACCAACCACGTTCACACGTTCAACCAACCCCCGCTACACGGGCCGGGCTATCAAAAAGAAAATTGATATATATCAAAAAGAAATTTTCTATATCCTATCAAAAAGAAAATTAATTTGTATCAAAAACAAAATATCTCTCACAAAGAGCTGCGCCTGCCACTGCAAACCGCCTTGGCAGCGCTGCGCGATGTGAATCTGGATGCGCAGTTTTTGTGGCGCGCGCAGCACTTTGAGCATCTCCAGTGGCAGATTTCGTGGCAGGAGCGGCACTTTGTGCACTGGAACTGCAGATTTCGTGGCCTGCGCAGCACTTTGATCACCTCTAGTAGCAGATTTCGTGGCAAGAGCGGCATTTTGTGCACTGGAACTGCAAATTTCGTGGCAGGAGCGGCACTTTGTACGCAGCACTTTGAGCACCTTCAGTTGCAGGGCTCCTGGCAGGCGCAGCACTTTGTGCACCGGAACTGCAGATTTCATGGCAGGCGCAGCACTTCGTGAACCTCGAAGTGCAGATTGCGTGAACCTCCGTCTATCAGCGCAGACTTCGTGGCAAGCGCAGTGATTGCGAACCTTGTAGTGCAGTTTGCGTGGCGTTTGTAAAATTCTGTGGATCTGAAGACCTGTGAAAAGAGCTCTTGATATCTCTGGATCTGAACATCTTTCTACACCCTCTGCAAGTATAGAACTTAGATTTCAACACCTCCCTGGATCTCAAGACTCAAGACCTCTAAGCCTCCATCTTTAGGTCTGTGGGTTTCTAGGCCTCTACACCTGCAGATCCGTCTGGATCTCCAGGCCTCTGGATCTTTGTAGATGTAAACCTCTCTGCATCTCAACCGTGATCTGTCTGAATTTCACGATGGCTCACAAAACCACAAGATTTGTGGATGGCTCACAAAAGGTCTGCTATGTTGGAATGGCACCTTCCTCCTCTAAAGTTTATGCTGACAACAGGTCTGCTCCTGTAAATTTTGCCCCCGCATGGCTCACAAAAGGTCTACTGCTCCTCTGTCTAAATTTTGCTCACAAAAGGTCTGCTACCTTGGCGTGGCACCTAAAGTTTAACCCCGGGTGGCTCACAAAAGGTCTGCTACGTTGGAATAGCAAGTTCTACCCTCGGGTTGCTCACAAAACAAAGGCCTGCTACGTTGGAATGGCAACTTCTTCCTCTAAGTTTTGACCTCGCAAGGCTAACAAAAGGTCTGCAACGTTGGAATGGCTCCTTCCTCTTCAACATTTTGCCCTCAGGTGGCTCACAAAAGGTTTGCTACCTTGGAATGGCACTTTCTTCGTCTAAATTTTACCTTCAGGGTGGCTCACAAAAAAGGTGTGCTACGTCTGGCGATAAAAGGTCTGCTACGGTGCTTCACAGGATGTATGACCAGATTTCCAAATCACCTTTAACGCGTCTTGCCTCGAAAGTACAGACCCAAGGACCCGAAGACCAGGACGAAGGACCAGAGGACCAAGGGACCAGAGGACCAAGGGACCAAAGGACCAGAGGGACCAGGGGACCAAGGGACCAGAGGACCAAGGGACCAAAGGACCAAGCGACCAGGGAACCAGCAGACCAGGACCAAAGGAGTAGGGGGATTTTTTTTTGATACGAATTAATTTCTTTTTTGATAGGAATCAATTTTCTTTTTGATAGGAATTAATTTTCTTTTTGATAGGTATCCCCGCTACACGGCGCAGCTGGGAGTCGAACCGTGGAGGGGGGGGAGGGGGGGGGGTAGTGTGATATATCAAGATCATCCCACTACCAATTGCTAAAGCAAAGAAGAACTCAGCTAGCATGCTAGCTTTCGTGACAAGTGCCTCGCTACTAGTAACAAGTGCCTTACTAGTAGTAACAAGAAGCTATTATTTTAACTACACACACACACTGACTTGAGCACTAGCAGAAACATCACTCCCTAGACTCCCTAGACTTCTCTCCCAGAACGGACCTCACCCCGCACCCAACTCACCTCAGCAGTCGGGGGCTTTACAGGTGTTTGGCTGGTGGGGCAATATGGTGCCTGCTGCGCTTCTGGAGGCTCCTCTCGACTTTTCTTCTTGATTTCCTGAATGAGGCCAGGTCAGGAGTGCTCATCACATTGTAAACAATGCAAAATGACACGGCCGGACACGGCCCATTGCTTGAGTAAAAGGCTTTCTCCCATGGCCACTCTTGTCGCCACCAATTTCCTCAGTCTTTGAGAGCTGACAAGGGTGCTCAATTTTGGTGCGGTTCTCTTCCATCTTCTTAGGACATTTTTCCAGGGCAGTGGTCGGTCAGGGGTCCTGTTAGCTCCTGCGTTTTTCACTGTCGCTCCTCAGGGGAGATGCTTGGGGCCGACGAGTTCTCACTGCGGCGCTGTGTATTCTTGCTGGAGACCTTGGAGGTCACCTCGTGTGGCAGGCACCAAATTCCATGGGCTTTGGAATTGGCGGGGGGCCTTGTTGTGGCAAACGCACGAGGTTCAAAGGGCATGGCTTTCCGTTTTCGACGCAGGGCCAGCCACATTGTATGTATGACTTCATCAGCGCGTTGGGAGCTCACGTTACTTGTTTGGTTGGGGGTTGGGTCTTGTTTTCGCTATGGCTTGGGTTGCGAAGCGCTGTCTGTTGTCCTGGCATGTCCGTCAGCTTCAGCTTTGGCTTGTTAAACAAAGCCGGCAGATGGGGGATCACAGTGTAACAAACACAAACACATTGAAGATATAGGATACAGGCAGGGATGAAACATGTGCACCATCTACGATCTTCCGCGTAATTTCAGGGAAGGTTGCGTCTTAAATCAATTACTGTAATTGGTGATTGGCGTAACTCAGCTGACACTCATGGATGACACGATTGCTCCCAAACTGCCGCAGGGGTCAATAACAAGAGCACTTGCGGCAAACAAAGGTGTGTCGTGTCCGTGTTGAAATTCGTTTCAGAGCAAACGAGGCACCATGCTTCACCAATGCTGGTGCTGGCATGCTACCTCCTGAGCTGCCACCATTTTGGCAATGTGTTCATAACGACAAGCGGAAACACTTCTCACATGGATCGGAAACATATCTGCTGACACTGGACTAACGAGTATGACAACTAGGTGACTACGTTGCAAAAATGTGTTCCATTTAGTGAACTGAGTGAATGTCAGCAAGAATGCCCGCTAGGCAAGTGCTAAAGTCCATAGCTCACCAAGCGTCGAAGTCATACTCTTGGCGGCCATGCGGGCGGATCGACAGCTGATCTTAGCTGCCATCCTTGAGCCCTGCCTACTTGAGAAATGAGAAATGCCTCGTAACAATTCGGGCTCCAAAAAGGAAACTGCCTACTGGCCTACTGAGTTAGCTACAAGGTTGCCAGTCCCTGGCACATGTGAAGTTTTGTATTTACAGTAAGTGATTTCTTTGCAAAGGATTCACTTGCCGTGTTGGCTGAAGTCCATCAATCATGGATCGGGCGGTCGTGCTTGGCTAGGTCTGCTGTCTGAATGTTTGACAAATCAACTCAGGACCCGCATTTCTTTAAATGATTTCAGAAAAGCCGGCCAAGCAAATTTGCACGCAAAGCCTTATATACGTATATTTGCTGTGCTCACTCTTCGTTCCAATCACAAATCCCACGTTCCGTCTGGCTTTGCAGCTGCTCCAGCTGATCGCCTAAGAACACAATCCGCTTTATCCATCTTTGTCTGTGGCAGAATGTCCTAAAAACTGAGGCACCAAGGACGTAGCACAAGGAGAGTGGTTTTCGCAACGTGTCCTGGTTTGTGAAGTGGGCCAAGAGTTCGGTCTCTGACCTCAGAATCCGAACAAAGCAAGCAATGTGCCGTCTGAGTCATGCCGTCTGCATGTGAAGTGAAGACATTGGAAATGACAACAAGATACTACAAGATACTACAAGCATCAAAGTTACCTAAACTTTGGTGTACCAAATGGTGTACCCCTCGTCGGTCCTTCTTAGAAGAAGGCTCCAAAGCTTCGTATCAATTTTTCAAGTCATAGAAACGATGGGTAATTTTCGTCTGGAGCACCTCGAATGACAATCTTCAGGCTGGCTTCTAGCAACCAGAACCCAATTGAGAGTCACACAGTCCTTCTCCTGTTCGGACACTTCCCCACCTACAACGGTGCAAGGCCCAAGAATCTCCAAGGCAAATGGTGCACACTTTGCCATGCCTTTTCTGAGTTGTTATCAACTGATGATTCCGGCTGACAATGGCGAGGAAATCGGTCCATCAGTCCTGATGGATTTTGAAGAACATGAGCTGCCAGTCTTGGAGAGGACCTGATGCCACTGCCAAGCTAGACGGGAGATGCGTGAAGAATCGAATCCTCTGGGTGCCCTGACGCCCTTAGGGCTCAACATGGCGCTCTGCTCTGCTCTGCTGCTTTGAACCAACAAGTGCAAACGCTCTGATCATGCCTTGTCTTGAGCTATTCAATGCACACTGCATGAGCAGTGAAAAAATCTTCAATGAAGAATGGTGTCAAGAGAGGGAAATGCACCATTTGGAGGGAACTGAACTAGAGATCATTAGTGCAATCATGTGCAATCTAAATGACCAGGACCCCTGCCACACAGAAGCTCCCAATTCTCCTCTCTTATTGCTGGATGCATTGTTGGTGCATCTTTGGCCGTGTTTACCCCCACTGGTGGCAGCTCCACAAGCAAAACGGCCCACTCGCGGTTTTTATACTCACTAAACGCTCACTAACACGAACGAGTATTACAGATTACAGTATGTAGTAGGGGTGGCCTTTGATCCCCGTGGCACATGTAAGGTTGCGACATAGCACCGTACCTCTGTGTCCTTGCACAGTTAAAGGTAGCCACAAGCAAGCACCGGCAAATATTGCGCACCACACGCTTCAGAAGCAAGCTCCACGGAGCAAGCACTTGACTGCGAAACGCACACGTGCGTGTGCGGCGTCATCTATTTGGTAGTACTAAACTCAAATATACTATCTATTTGAGAAGCTGCAAAATGAAAGCCGGCTTTTTTTTGTCAACGAGCACGTGGTTGGCCAAAGACAGCATGTTGCCAGGTATAGCACTTCAATTTCCCTTTCCCTAAGCCGCTAGACAACCTTGAGAAACGTGCAGCACTCCACAGCTTTGAAGTCTCATTGGTGCTTTGAACTTATATAGGTGTGTAGGAGGTTACGCATTCACAGCTGCACGAAGCTACAACACAGTAGCTACAATTCAGTTGCCAGGTAAAGCACTTCAATTTCCCTTTCCGTCAACCGCTCGATAACCTTTAGAAACGTGCAGCAACCCACAGCTTTAAAGTCTCATTAGTGCTTTGAACTTATATATATAGGTGCGTAAGAGGTTATGCATTCACAATCATTCACAGCTGCACGAAGCTACAACACATCGGCCTTGGTAAAACTATACTTTACCATGCAAATGACGCAAATGCAAACAATTGAATTTCTTACATCACCACCTGCTCAAAAACCACAAAAAATACAGACCCCCTACTTACTCACTTCGTTCGCCAAACACAACTCAGCTGGCGCCTTCTACGAAGGCTGGCTTTCGTAATTATGTGGGGGGGCCCGATCTCGTTTAGACTACTCAAGTAAAGTAGGAGGTCATGTCACAGTATCTCGTTCAGACTACTTTAGTAACAAATAACACTATCTCGTTCAGATTACTTTAATGTAATCAAACAAAAGCATCTCGTTTATGCGGCGGCCCTATCTCGTTCACAAGCGAATACTGATGATAGAAAAGCAAATCATAGAGCATGTCGAGACTACTTTAGTAAGGCCTAAACAAAAGTGGTTGCTCACATGCATATCGGAAGCCGCCAGGATATGCCGCCGGAGATTTTCTGCACCAGCCGATCCGACGACGCAACGGCGCCACGGTCGGGTGACGAGCTCGCCGCTCGCTTCGGGAGTACAGCATAGAACTGTCTAATTCTCACGACTTTGGTGAGGTCTGGCAAAACTTGTTCAGGAAAGGAAATCCTTGATCTCTGACCTGGGCCCAGCTGGACAAGTGAAGGAGGTAGCAGTCTCACAGTAGGCACCGCCCCGCTGGATTTGTTTTGGCCAGCTATTGCCATTGTCCCCTCATAAAAAGGTGGACATGCCAGATTGATTGCTTCACAGGCTATGGCTACAACATAGCAAGCTAAGGGCTGATTCTCAAGCCTATCTCCGCGCATTCTTCCATTGCAGGGCGGGCCTGCATTCGCATGGCTTGCTTTTTAGCTACAGTAGCTGTTGTTTGTTTTTTTGCCTCATACTGATACTCACACCTCATCTATATATTTCGCACAACGCGACACAACTTGGTGGGTGGACAAGGCTTGCATCGAGGGTCGTTGCTTTGGCACTCTCTCTCTCTCTCTCTGGCGGGCATTACTCGTCCCGCAGTCGTCTCACAAAGACGCCGAACTTGCTTTGGCACTGTCGCGTGCAGCTCCAGGCTCAGTATTAGTAGGGGTGATACAGTACCCCCTGCAATGCCTCCTTCCGGTCAACCATGGACTTGGAACGGGAACACATTGGAACAGTAGCAATAAGCCGTCTCAACGTGGGCCATTCTTTGCAGAGCTGCAGCTGCGCTCCAAACTTCTCCGTCAAGGTGGCGCTGCCACCTTTGAGGAATGCCCGCACCTAGGCATCAATATCAATGCTTGATATGCTTTGTACATTACTCGGTGTCAAGCTAGCCTCTGCTCGTCTCTGACGCAAAGAAAAAGATATTATACATCCAGCCATCATGCAGAAATCCAACGTATCTCTCTCGCTCTCCCTCCCTACCTCCCTCCCTCCCTCCATCGCTCTCTGGTTGGCTAGGCTTGTGGCGGTAAAGGGTGTCCCGCCACCCTCGAGGCACATCACGTAGACCTGCTTGTCTATGGGGCAAAAACTCTCAATGACATCCACACCAGCTGGCACATGAACTTGAAAAGAATTGGATGGGGGAGGAATGACCTGGCCCAAATCATAACCAAAGGGTTACCTGTAAATTATGTCGCTTCCAGCTACAATTCAAGGCCAACCTACAGCACTTGCTGGGATAAAAACTCACTCGCGTGATACGCTTCAGCGTATGACGGCCAAGCTGATCGAAGCAGCATCGAATCATTGCAGCATCCATCCCTCAACTGCCACCCATAAAAATGATTTTACCCTGCCGGGCACCCCAGGGGAGCCAGGGCAGCCAGGGGTTTGGCAATTGTGGTTGGCTTTTTGGCATGCAATGCGAATGAAGCTAACAAAGAGGCAGATTAGAGGCCAACTTGAAATGCCAGGTGCCCACAAAAGTCCGAGCACCTGCTTCAAAATGGCACCACAGTAGCATGTGATGTTTCATTTGTTACTGGTGATTTGACGGTCATTGTTGTGAACAGAACAGTGAGCTCACCAACGTGCCTTTTTTGAATCGCTGCTGGGAGCCGAAAACACCGCTTAGATGCTTCGCTTGCCGGTCCCCCTCACACCAATACGACCCGGAATGAAACTAGTGCCTTGTAGACTCCATCACCTCCGCGGAGTGGGAAGTCTCCACTCATCTGGCCCGAGCGAATGAAAGGATTGGGATTGAAAGAAGCAGTCTCCAATGAGGGTCACTTGGGTCGCTTGATCACCGCCAAAGCAACATGAAAAGGCAAGTCGATTCTAATCATGACTGGCCCACGCTTAGGAAGCTTGGGGCTTAGAATTGCTTCAGCCATTGAAGACTACAGCTCATATCTCAACTAATTTCTTGAGAGCGCCTGCCGCAGCTTGCCTTCCGCATCGTGCCATGTGACAAGCTGTTGCATTTGGTCTGAGTATGACATTGGGCCTGATGAATGAACAGCTAGAAACTTTTGCGCAGAACCGTCCCCTGCTACAAAAAGAACACATGTCTCCTTCCGGATGGTGCAGACTGCATCAGACTGCTAATCAACCTTTTACTTTACTGCCTCGGTTCCAAGCAAGTCATTCCAATGGAACTTCCGGTTCCCTGTGCTCCTTCTTCAGGACGACTGCACCAGTAGGATCTGTCACAGCTAGACCGGCGGACCTAACCCTGGGGCCCGAGGGTTTGAATAGGTTTGACCGTTTGACCTGCAAAGGCCACACGGCATACAAACACCAAAGCCATCGCTAGTAAGGTAGGCAAGTATACTGGCAAGTAGATATTTTATACTGATATAAATAAATGTTAGGTTGGAGAGTGAACAAACAAAATCACCGCAGTGTTGCTAAAGAATTATGCGTGCTTATGCTCATTTACAGAATGGAAACGAGTGAGTCATCTCACGTATCCGCAGGCGCTCAAG